AAGCAGGGAGCCTGATGCGGGGCTCGATCCCAGGACCCTGGGATCATGACCTGAGCCGAAGGCAGACGCTTAATGACTGAGCCACCCAGGCGCCCCTCCTGTTCATGTTTTTTGCAGAGTCTAGGGTTCGTGCCTTGCCCCCAGGTCCTGCTAGCCACCCCAAAATCGTTCCTTTTCTTCCTCAGAGAGGCACAGGGTGTCCTTGATGCGCACAAGCCCTCTGGAGGCCCCATGCCATTCTTCACTGTCTCAAATGTAGACCATGCCATTGACATTCCTAGGGAATGGATTTCCTGCTTCTCTTCAGCAGCCAAGTCTTATACTCTTATATCATTAGTATCCCCTGCCTCAAACGTTCCGTTCCTGCTGCTGCTTCCCTAGCACGGATCCCCGTTAGCTCCTAACTTGTGGCCCTGCTTCTCACCTCTTTGACTCAGTGTTTTTTTTTCAACCATCCCGAGAGTGACCTTTGTAAAGCACACCTCCAGTTATGCCACATTCCTGCTCAAAAAACTTGTAATGGCTTCCCACTGCCTATTGAAGTAAATCCTAAATCTGCTTTTAAGGCTCTACAAGAATAGCATCAGCCTCTTTCTGGTCTTACTTCGACCACACCCTACGCTTCAATTGCAAAAGACCTTTGTTGCTGGAACATGCTTTCATGTTCTTTCTGTTTGTACTCTCCCTCCCTACACACACCTGTGAGAATCTCTATCCATCAGTGGATTCCAAAGCTCCCTTCTTCGTAAACCCTTCCCCGATGTCCCCTACCACACTAGCTCCCTTTCCTTTGTGCCTCTCATTGGTAAAGAAAATATCTCGCCACGTATCATAGTTATTCAGATCCTTGGTTTTCCCTCTGCTTCCCAATAAGCTACAAATTCCTTGAAGGTAAGGATTGTGACACATTCGTCTTTTGTATCTGTGACTGTCCTAGGTCAATAAGTATTTGTTGAATCTAATCGGTTTAATTACGAGAGCTCTGAGAGGAAGAACAATAGTCCACGGCCGTGAGCCTGTGGGCTATTAAATATTAGGGTTTTAAATTGATTTTGGAACATGCAAACCCAATAAATTTCTCAGCTTAAGTTTATAAGCTCTAGGAGAAAAAAGGGAGTACCCCAAACACTAGATGCCCAGCTCCGTCATTGCTTCACTCACCTTCTCTGGAACATCACCAGCTTCTCAGCTTTTAGGTCAGACAAGTCTAGCAAACCACCCTTCTCTTTGACAGCTGGGTGTTTGCGTACAAGCAGCCAACCCACGTGAGAGAAGAAAAAGCCACGCCGGGAATTGTGAGGATCAGCATCTGTTTCTGAAAACTTGTGGTGGGCACGGTGATCTCGGGCCCATTCATACACGTCGTTCTGGAGGGACAGAGGAGAGGAATGTAGGCCTGGCGAGAGATATCGTCTTAGGGGAATTCCAATGGATAGGCAACTCTACGAGCCCCTGGCTCTCAGCCCAACCTCAAAAAATAGGAGTCATGCAGTTGCCCCCTCTGCTCCCCCAACTTGCCACTGAAGCTTAAGTGGAAAAGCAATTTAAAGTCCCAGGACACATGAATAGGACTAGCTTCTTGAAGGTTATATGGTGGGCAGAATGGAGACAGATCATACAGAGCTCAGTTTCATTAGGAAAGCACATTGCAATCCTTCAAGCAAGAAAAAATGTTGGAAAATGTCCTCACGGAATGCCAAACCCCTGGGCATGGAGAACACGAGGCAGGCAGCCTTGCATCCCGGGTCCTGGTTGGTGGGTGAAGCATCAGGGAGCTCCATTCTGATGCCTTGCATACAGATCATAGCCAGGCACAGAAATCATGATCTTGGCCACATTTCCAAATGACCTCTGGGCTCCTCTGGGATTCTTTTAATACCTTAAAGGATGTGCCAAATCTCTTCCTTTGCCCCACAAAGACAACATCAGGAGCCCTCAAGGCATAAAGTGCTATGACCGAGAGGATTATGTGACTGTGGCAGGTACCTGGGACACTGCCACGAAGAAGGGGATCAATTTGGTTTCTTTCCTTTTTCCTCTTGCTCCCAGCTAAGCTCCACCAGCCATCTTTTGTCCCTTGCTACCCCTTAACAACCAGGAGTTCCCTTCTCCCAATTCCCTGCATTCTATCTCTGCTATAAACTTTCTGCCTCAACAACCCTCAATATTTGACTTAGCCAGCCTGGCAGCCCAAGACAGGACCATAATGTTGGTCTACCTAACTTCTCAGGGACGCCATTTCCTCATCTGTAAACTGGGGGTCATAGTACCTACCTTCTAAGATTGTTGTGAGGATTTAATGAGGTAATTTATGTCACGGGCTTAGAATAGTCAGGCACGTAGTGCTACAGAAGTATTTGCTCTTAGACCTAAGAACACAGAGTTCAAGAGTCTATGCAACATCAACCTCAATCCCGTTGTGGTGGAATCCCAAGCTTTTCACCTAAAATAGTGAATTTATCATCCAGCGTCTGCCCAGGAAACCAGGGTCAGTTCCTGGCTTATGCACTATGACCCCTTACAATAAAGGACCACAACGGCCAAGACTGCATGATAACAGAGGGACCCTAGGATCAAAAAACCATCCCATGACACTGAGACTATTACCTATGTATCTCCCACTTCCCTTTTCCGGTGGGGACTTAGGGACTGGGGCTGCACTTGAGGGGACCGTAAGGGGAGAGGAAAGTCAGGCGTGGCTGCTCTCCAGGTGCTGACCTTCTCCGTTCTGCTGCCAGACCATCAAAAGAGTGGACAGCAAAGAGCTGAGCAAAGCCAGCTTCTCACCTGGAATGCCATCGTGTTGGCAATGATCAGGAAGAGCCTCAGGGGCAGCCGAGCTTTGTAAGTCCGGTGACTCCACAGGCGATGAGCTCCTGCCGTTATGCCCACAGCACTGATCAAATAGTAGAAGAATCCTGCCGGGGGGGGGGGGGGAGTCAGTGTGGGTGGTTGCGATTCAGGGGAAGTACTCACCTGATGCTCTCCTGTCTGAGTCTGTGTGTTCTTAGGCTCTGGGTGAGGATTTGTTTCACCCTGAACTCCAGGGATGCCTTGGTCTCCTCTGTCCCTTCACTTTTACTCCTTGAAAAATACCATCACTACCCAATCCTCTGGAATTAGCTGAGTCTCAGGCACTTGAGAAAGGCCGGGCAGAGAAGAGGGCTCTTACCACCCAGCTAGCTACTTGTCATTCTCCGTCATGAGGGACACTGTCCCCGGTCCTATCTCCTTTGACCTTCAGCTAACCTTTTCCAAAGTTTTAAGGACCACAGACGACTCCTGCGAATTTCAGGACTCATAAGCAAGGGTGGTATTAAACTATTTGAAAGCTAGTATGGTCTGAGCACTGACCAATTCAAGGGCCCCTGGGCTCTCAGGGACACTCACAGGGCTCTGAACTACGGCTATTTACCAACTAGTATAAAAGCATTTAAATATTCTAGCAGGCAGTGCAGTCCCATCAGGGGAAAATCTGCCCTATACCTAAGTCATATCTGCACAGTATCTTAAGCTTTGCCAAGGATTTTATCTTCTCTGATTCCTTGAATACCTTGAATGGGGTTTAACATCCTCACTTTGCAGTTGAAGGTTAAGTGTTTATCTATGGTCACATGGCTGGTAAGAAATGGAGCCATGGTTTGAAACCAAGTTTTCTGTCAACAAGCACTCTTTGTTCTTGCTGTCCCATCCACCTCCCCAAGATATGCACATGGTTCCTGCGTCTCTCCTTTGCCCCGTGCCTTGGTCAGCCATACTCCCTCTGGCAAGGCTAATTCTAGATAGTGCCCCGATATCCTCCGAGTGTTCGGTGAAACACCCCAACACTGTCCTGCCTCACCCCTCCTGGAAGCCTGCAGGATCTAATCTCTCGATGATAGCGAGAGATAGTCTCTAACTGGGAAGTGGGTTTCTGGGTATACCCGTCTTCCTCTGTTGGCTCTAGCAGGCAGGGGCAGAGACCTTGGTAGAGCAGTGACTGTTGACAATGTTTCATTCCTAGGGAAGCAGCTGGAAACAATGGATCCTCAGTGGCCACAGAACTTAGTCGCAGTCGGAGACACTGCACATTGTCACAAATTGTCCTGTGTTCTTCTCCAGCCATAGATACCAGTTTCCTAAACAACCCCCCGCCCCCCTCCTCCCCTAACCCTGTCTTCCTCCATGCTCTCCTACCCGTCCTCCAGGATCTGGAGGAGAGCCATGGAGCCAGAGTCTGTCCCAGCAAAAGTTCTACCCACAGTCCCATACTCTGTGCTGGCATTAGGGCCCCAGGTGATTTGCTGGCCTCAGGCCATGTGCTGACTTCTTTCCAGATACAGTATCTGCCTGCATCTGCACCTGGAAAGTGACAGTTTAGCCACAGCCCACCGAACACCAAGGAGGAAAGAAAATGGCTTTGGGCAGGAAAGCAGAAGCACTCAGCTCAGAACAAAGGAAGCTCCTAGGGTTGTTTCATGCCAGAGAGGACCCTGGCAAGTTGACTCAGTGCCTAAGATTCTAGTATTACCAGGGGCATTGGGAAAAGAGCCCATACACTCTGGTGCCTTTTCCTATCAACCTCGAAAGCCTATCTAATAGAAGACCTTAAGCCAGTTGGAGAGTCACATCTCTATTAATGTCCAAATTGTCAGCCTAAGTAAAGTCTCCTAGTTTTGACTCCAAGAAAGAGACTGGAGAAATTTTACCCCTTGGCCCTCAGTGTTGCCAGAGATCTCTTTTCAGCCCTCCCCCCTAAGGGCTCTTCTGAGAGGCTCTCAAAATTGCTCAGAGTCATGAGAAATACTGGAATCACAACCAGCTGCTAATTTAACACTGTCCTTAGGGAGAAAACAAGAAAAGGTGAAGCCAAGCTCCTAAACTCTGCAGGTAGACCTCTGACCCTCCCCTCCCCCTTGTTCCTTAACATGGACAAGTTCTGATTTCCCTTCATCCAGCTGGTCATTCGGTCAGCTAAGTCATCTACCACATGGCCCAGGAACAGGAAAAAAGGTCACCATCCAGTCCCCCTGGGCCATGTCTCTCTGTCCAAAGGCACAGTACACATCCATGGACAGGGCACCCAAAAGCTAGCAGGTACAGCCTGGGTTTGTGGATCGCCCTCTGCCCCCTGTACCAGCAGCCAAGGGTGGGGAGCGATGAGCGGCAGTCTGGCCAAGCTCTGGGCTTCACAAGGCCTACAGGGCGTCCTGAGGCTGGAAGGGGCTTGCAGGTGACAAAAACTACTTGTGAAGACTCCTCTACTGGGGAGAAGGGGTGGAGACAGGAATCCACAGTCTCCCTGGAGGATCCTTATCCCTGCTCTTGACCTCTCCCGATACAGCTGAAGTTCTGCTGGCTTCTCAGAGGGGCAGAGAACACACATCCCCCTCCCCTCCCAAATAGAAGAGCTTTTCCTGGTCTGCAGATGAACTGATTTCCAGAGCCTGGCCAGCCCCAGCAATGACACACATATACTCTAAGGAGAACTACCTACCTAATCCTAAAAAAAGTACTGTTGTCCCAGTTTGTACCTAGAAAAATTGAGATCCCAAAGAGAGGGGGTCTACCCAGCTGCATTTCTCTGTCTGTGGCACTCAGGACTTCCCAAGACAAAGCTCCAGGGACCAGATCCTACCACTTTTAGACCACAGAGGTCCTGGGGGAATCAGCTAAAACTTGGCCTACCAGCCCTTTGACACAACTGTCCTCCAAGAGTGCAGCTGTCGGCAAGCACCCCATACCCAAGACGGTGCTGGAACCCCTAACGTGGTTTTCTGGAGGACAATCTCTCCTTTCTCACCGGCCACAGAGAGGGCCAACGCGGAGCCCCTGGGACACTGGAGCTCTCTGCTCCCCCCTGCCCTCCCCAAGTCAGGCTTTGCGTGGCGGAGGTGAAAATGCCTGCAAAGCACATGTGTGTCCAGGGGGCAGGGCCCTGCCATCAGACCATACCCAGGCATCCCCAAAAGAGCTGAGCTAAGGGCAGGTCAGGGACAAACTGGGAACTGTCTCCCGCACTGCAGCAGCCTCGAGGCTGGGGCTGCTGAGGGCTCTCTTCTCTGTCCCTGGCAAGGGGGGCACTTCATGACATTAGGAGAGAGGGGCTGGAGCAGGTTAGATGGGAATAGGAAATGCTTCCTTGACCTCATTTCATTCCCAGAACATGTTCATTTGGTGGCATGTATAGCTCCCTGGAGACTTACACGGGAGTCCCAGAACAACACATCTGTGTAACCTGGGTTATACAGGAACCTTCTTGGTCTGTCTGTTTAACAAAGGAGCCTGGCTGGGCCAAGGACCAGGGCAAAAAAGGATTTTGTGGATAACCTCTTCTCTGTTCCTCCCTCTTCCGCCAACTCTTGTCCCGAGCAGTTTCCCTTGCTATGCTATGACTGTGCTCAGCATATCCCCCCTGGAGCTGCTGCTCTGCTGCCATGTTCCCAGGCCTTCCAGGTCGTGGCCTTGAATCTTTTGTGGCTGGCAGGGCTGGGACAGGCAGCCAAGCAAATGACTTGAAACAGGGAAAGCTGACTCTCCGGCACACGTCTACTCATTTCAAGGCCTGCAGCACATGGTCTCAGGGCTCTCTGCCCAACACCCACATTGAAGGACCCCCAAACCCCCTTGGCTCCATTCGCAGCCACCATCGTCAGGTCACCAAGAGACATGGCTGGGAAAACCTGGGCCTGGAAGGGCTGTTGCCTCTGCTCTATGCAAGATCCTACCTTATTGAAGGAGTAGGGAGGACCAGGGGTACTAGGTCAGAAGAACAAGGGAGTCTCTTACCCCAGATACAGGTGTAGATCTTGCAGGCGGGAATCAGCAGGATCCCATACAGGGCTCCCAAGTGTAGCAGAGACATAAGGATGATGTTTCTCCAAACATACTCAACCTTGGGCTTTGGGCCCTCCGGATCCTTGTAACTTGGGTCATAAATGTCATCTTTTAGTTCAGGGCGGATGTCTTCTTCCAAGTATAGAGAAGGCTTCTCCAACTTGCCTCCTCCATTCTGCAGGATCCTGGAGGGAGGCGCTGTGATGGTGGTGGTGGTTGTGTAGGAGCTAGAGATCTGGAGGGGAGAGGAAGCAGAGTCAGGAGAGGCGAGGACACGTGCAGTAACCCCTGCCACTTCACTCTCTACTCAAGCTGGGGCAATTGTGGAGTACAGACACAGACCCTGGCCCCAAAGCCCGCATTAACTGGGAGCCCGGTGCGCCCCTGATGGAAGAGAGGGAAGTTCCCAGGAACTGTGCAGATAGGTTGTGGAGGGTAGTGGACCCTCAAGGTGAAGGTGCGTGCAGCAGAAGGAGGAGTAAAACACTCACACCCCTAAGAACGCACAAAGGAAAACCCGCATGCACACACACATAAAAGTACGACCGGGTTTTTCTTTAAAGCTTAAGAAACAAAAGTTGGGGAACAAAGTCCGCAAATTACAATCCACATTCCCAACAAACTGAAAGCAGTACAATTCGCAAAAGATGGCTAATAGTCCGCGGAGACCTCAACGCTCTCGTCCCCCCAGCGCCTGCGAACCCGCGGTCTGGGGCAACTGCTCAGAGCTCACCTCCTCTTGCAGCAAGTGGGCCGGCATCTGGGCTCTCGGATGCTGGGATCACTCGCCCGCGGCTGAAACGGCACAGCGCAGTTCGGGACAGCCCACACACACGTAGACTTCGGTTACCGAGCCGGCTTTTGCGCAGTGACCCGCGGCGCTGCTCTCGGAGCCTCCTCTGCGCGGTGCGCGCTGGATCGGTGTCGGGCTCCGATGTGCGGTACGTGGGTCTACCCAGGCTGGGGATTTAAAGGCTAGAGCTGGCCGTGGCTGACCGAGTCCCGTATTTCCTCAGACCCCTTTTATTCGCTGCCAACAAGGGGCAAAGTGCGCGGAGTTGGCTCACCCTGGGAGACCTGCCTGGGCGGGAGAGGGGAGGAGACAGAGCCGAGGCGTGCTGCGGCTGGAGACGCGCAAACAGGATGCTGCAGACACACCGCGGCTCCGCAGCCGCAGCCCCAGCCCCTGCCTCTGCCCCTGGGGAAATGCTAATGGGCTTCTGTAGAATCTGGCGCGTCATTGGCCGAAGGGAATTTGGTGCCACCTCGTCCAGCCCTTGCCATTGGCTGGGCGCAATCTGCTGTTCCCTCGGCCGCGAGCTCCTCGCTCCCCCTCCCCTCTCTTTCTCCTGCTCGGCTCCGCTTCCACCGGCCGCTGGGCCTGTGCCCCGCATCCCGCGGCCTCGGAGGCGCTCGGGAGCCTTCCCTCCGCTCGCGGGAGAGGACCGGGGCCGGGGGTAGGATGGTGGAGGGTGGGCACCCGCCCGGGACCGGCGCCCCGCACTCGGCGGCCGGACGGGCCCCGCGGAAGTCTCCGCGGCATCAGCGGGGAAGCCCCGGGCCCGACCACGGCGCCCGGCTCGCTCCCGCCTTCCCGCTCGCAGGGACGCGTGGGAGGGCAGACGTGGCTTCAGAGCTGGGGTCGCGAGCCCAGGAGGCCGACGGGGTCCCGCCTGACAGGGGGCATGAGGGACAGCTCCCCGCGCGGAGCCGGGCCGGGGGCCGTTGCGGAACAATGACCCCGCTCCGCGCACCAGCCCCGCCGTGCTAACCCGAGCCCTCCGCGCGCGCGCGCGCGTGTCTGTGTGCGCGCGCGCGTGTGTGTACGCGTGTGTGGAACTGCACGCGCGCACGGTGTTCTGCCACTGGGCGCGCCCAGCAGGGGACAGTCACCGCCAGGCACAGCGCGGCGGGGCGGTGGGGGGTGGGGGTGGGGTCCCATCCCTCTGCCCAGGCGGCTGGGACGTGTGCGGGATGTTTGGGGGTTCTTCAGGCTGCCAGGTTGTCATTGGGGATCGCCTTCAAGGAAAAAGGCAGGAAGCCCAGGCACGTGCTTTCACACAGACGCAGGCCCGAGGACTGACTGGTACGTGCCGCACAAATAACTAACACGTATCGCATTATTACTACAAGCCAAGTCACAAGGATCGTTTTATTTCATCCTTACTGCGACCCCAGGAGGTGGGTTGTCTGTTCTAACCTTTTAAAGATGAGGAAAGTGAGATACGGAGCGGTTAAGGCACTTGTTTTTGGTCACAGGAGCCAGAAGCTGAGCCCTCAAGTCTAGGTCCGTTCCCAGAATCCCCGGTCCCTGAGATGCTCTGACCTCACTGACCAGTCCTTCATGCCCGCCGTCTTTCTGGGCCTGTGGTGCCTTGCCATTCAGAGTTAGCTCAGAACCAGACAGGGCATGCATTCTCCCAGCCTCCTTCCACACCCAGGCCTCCCCAAATACTCCCCCAGGATCCTTCCTCTGAGAAGAGGAGAAAAGAAGGAGCTCTGGGCCAACCATTGGCTTCTCAGGAAGAGAGGCACCTGGGATTGCCTGGGAGGAGGACTAAGGAGCTCCCTTGTTGGCCACTGGTCTCAGGTTAGGCCAACTCCCTGGCCAGTCACCAGCGCCTCCGTTCCGGTCCTGGCTCCCTGGCCAGTGCAAAAGTGTTGAATGAGACTAGATATTTCAGTTATGGACAGCCGGTCTTGTCATAGCTCCGAAGAGCTGGGCGTGGAGGGGAGAAGTCTGTGCACATGCTGCTCCTCTTCAGGCTTGCTCTGCAGTGTCTCTTGACTTAACTCCTCTACCAATCACAGGGTTATTCCTCAAGGGAGAAGATCCAGAGTTTCTTGCGGGCTGGACCCTTAATTGTGCCTGAAGAGGGCTCTACCGCGGAGCCATCCATCATGTTCCATCTTCCCAACTTTTTCTTCCCCTCTGCTCTGCCTCTCCAAATATTAGTCACCATTCAAGGCAAATTCAACTCCATCCGTTTCTTAAATCTTTCCCTCAACTTCACCACTGCTGGACATTCTCTCCCTCCTACTTGGGACCTCCAGAGAGTTTATGGCATCATTTATGGCCCTTCTTACACAGGCTTAAGAATTATTACCTGTATGTATCTTGTCTCTCCTATCAAACCCCAAGCTCTTTGAGACAAGGCCCCTGCTGCCATCTTTCATCTGTTTCATGGGGCCTAGTAGGAGGGAAATGTATAGGAAACTTTAGGCACGGAGCTGGTTCCTGAGAATAAAGGAAGTCACTGTGCATTTGGGTCATATTGATTGTGGCAGAAGGAAACAGTAAGAGGGCTCAGTACTGTTGTTAAAGCTGGGGGTGGGATTCAAAATAGGAATCTCTTAGAAAACTAGGAATAGAAGGAAACTTCATTAACTTGATACAGAACATCTACAAAAAACCTGCAGCTAATACTATACTTAATGGTGAAATATTAGATCCTTTATTCCTAAGATAAGGGAGCAGGCAAGCATGTCTGCTCTTCCATTCAACATTGCACTGAAAATCCTAGCGAGTATAATAGCAAGAAAAAGAAATGAAATGCATAAAGATAGGAAAAGGAAAACTGTTATTATTTGCCGAAGACATAATTGTGCATATGAAAAACTCTATGAATTCTACCCCAAATTGCCAATATTGGCAAGCAAATTTAGAAACGTCAAGGATACAAAGTCAAGATAAAAAAAAATTTCCTTCTGTATACTATTAAAGAATAATTGGAAAACAATATATTCTAAATATATTTTTTTAAATAGCATCACAAATATCATATAGAAAGGAATAAATCTAAAAAACTATTGGCAGGATATCTGCACTGAAAACAACAAAGCATTTTTGATATTAATTTAAAAAGTTCTTAAAGAACTAGAGGGAATAAGAAAAGATATATACTATGTTCATGGATGGGAAGACTCCATGTTGTTCTGTAGATTAATTTAATCCCTATAAAAATCCAACAGGTTTTTTTTGTTCTTTTTTTTTTTTTTAACGCCTGGCTGGCTCGGTCGCTAAGCATCTGCCTTTGGCTCAGGCCATGATCCCAGGGTCCTGGGATTGAGCCCTGCATCGGGCTCCCTGCTCGGCGGAGAGCCTGCTTCTCCCTCTACCACTCCCCCTGCTTGTGTTCCCTCCCTCGCTGTCTCTGTCAAAAAAATAAATAAAATCTTTTTAAAAAAAGGAAGATAAACAACTCAATAAGAAAAATAGCAAAAGATTTGAATAGACACTTCACAAAAGATACAAAAATGAACCATTGAGCACATCAAATTGTTCAACATCACTAGTCTCAGTTATTACACCTAAGGAAAAAGAAAAAATAGATAATTTGGAGTTTGTCAAGATTAAAAACTTTTGTGCTTCAGAGGATATTATCACGTAAAAGAAAAGACAGCCCACGGAATGGGAGAAAATGTTTGCTTATCACATATCTGATAAGGGACTTCTGCGTAGAACATACAAAGAACTCTTGCAACTCCATAATAAAAAGACAAATGACCCAAGTAAAAATTGAGTAGACACTTCTCCAGTGAAGACTCACAAATGGTCTATAAGCACAAGAAAAGATGCTCAATCTCGTTACCCTCATCAGGGAAATGCAAGTCAAAACCATCATGAGATAATTTATACTTAGGGTGTCTTCTTTAAAAATACGGTACAAGTGTTGGCAAGGATGTGGGGAAACTGGAATCCTCATACGCTGCTGGTAAGATTGTGAAATGATACAGCCACTTTTTTTTTTTTAATGTATTATTTGTTTCAGGGCACAGGTCTGTGATTCATCAGTCTTACACAATACACAGCACTCACCATAGCACATACCCTCCCCCATGTCCATCACCAGGCCACCCCATCCCTCCCACCCCCCTCCACTCCAGCAACCCTCAGTTTGTTTCCTGAGATGAAGAGTCTCTTGTGGTTTGTCTCCCTCCCTGGTTCCGTCTTGTTTCAGTTTTTCCTCTCTTCCCCTATGACCCTCTGCCTTGTTTCTCAAATTCCACATATGAGTGAGATAACATGATAATAGTCTTTCTCTGATGGACTTATTTTGCTTAGCATAATCAATACCCTCTAGTTCCATCCACGTCATTGCAAATGGCAGGATTGCATTTTTTGATGGCTGCATAATATTCCGTTGTATATATATACCACATCTTTATCCATTCACCTGTCGATGGACATCTGGGCTCTTTCCATAGTTTGGCTATTGTGGACACTGCTGCTATAAACGTTGGGGTGCAGGTGCCCCTTCGGATCCCTACTTTTGTATCTTTGGGGTAAATACCCGGTAGTGCAATTGTGGTACAGTCACTTTTGAAAACATTTTGGCAGCTCCTCAAAGGCTAAACCTGGAGTCACCATCTGATCCAGCAGTTCCACTCAGGTATATACCCAAGAGAAATGAAAACATATGTCCCCACAGAAACTTGTACACAAATATTCATCCAGCAGTATTCATAATAGAAAAGGTGGAGACAACATAAATGTCCATCAAATGAGTAATGGATAAATAAGATGTGGTATGTTTTTACAAATGACTATTATTCAGCAATAATAATAATAATGATGAAGTGCTGGTGCAAGCCACAATGTACATGAACTTCAAAAATACAATGCTAAGTGAGAGAAACCTATCGCAAAAGACCACACACTTCCTTATCCCATTTACAGGAAATGTCCGGGATGGGGAAATCTATAAAAATGGAGTAGATTAAGGGTTGGCGTAAGGCTTGGACGGAGTTAGGAGGGAGATTGAAGAGGGTGGTTGAAGGCTAAGGAGTGCATTACCCTTCCTGGGGTAATGAAAGTGTTCTAAAATTGATGGTGCTGATGGATGCACCACATTGTGACTATAGTTAAAGCCACCAATTGTACAACTTACGTGGGTAAACGGTAGGGTGTGTAAATTATATCTCAATAAAAGCATTTCTGAGAAAAAGCTACCGTGAGTAACGCTACATACTCACTGGAATGACTGAGTTTAAAAGACTGAGAACAGTAAATGTTGGTGAGCACGTGAAAGAACTAAAATGCTCATCCGTTGCTGGTGGAAGCATGAGATGTCACAACCACTTGGGAAAATAGGTTGGCAGTTTTTTTATAATGTTAAACGTTCGTCTATCCTAAGAATCATTAATTCCACTCCTGGGAATTTCTTCAAGTGAAATGAAAACCCATGTCCACAAGAAGACTTGTACAAGAAAATCCATTGCAGATTCATTCATTATTGCCCCAAAGGGGAAACATCCCCAAAGCTTGCCCATAGGAAACCAGATAAGCGATTGATGGGCCATTCATCCAGCACAGACACTCTGAATGGAAAAGAATGGACAGCAGAGACATGCAGCAACATGGATGGGTCTCAAAAACATGCACACAGCAAAGAAGCTAGCCGCTGAAAGGACAAAATGGCTTGTTCCCTTTATATGAAGTCTGCTGGCAGGAAAACCTAATCTCCAGGGAGAGAAGTCAGAATGTGGTTGCTCAGGATAAGGGGCCTTGATTTGGAAATGGGCCAGGGGGAAGACTTTGGTCATAGAAACATTCCATATCCTGTTTTGGGTGGCAGTTATCTGAATATATACAATTGTTCAAGATCATCAAACTGAACGCCTATGAAGTGCACGTTTCAGCGTATGGTCCTTTTACCTCAACCCAGCTAGGAAGGGTTGGGAACCAGAGTCTGTAGCCAGGAAAGGGAGTCCTAGAAGTTGCTTGCTTCATTCATTCATTCACAATACAATACATATCTATCGAGCCCCTACTAAACAGGCAGGCACTGTTCTGGAAGCTGGTATCACTGGTGAGTTAGCTCCATGTTCTTGCCCTCATGGAGCCTACATTCCAGTGGGAGAGATAATTAACAAAATAAACACAGAAGCTCAGGTGCAGGGGGGGGGGGAAAGGATAAGGGGATTTAAAGTAATAGTTCTACTAAATGCAGGAACTTTGCAGATTCTGGGCATCACCTTTGCTCAACAGGAACCCAAAGGTCCATCCCTCCCTCCTTTCCTTCCTTCCTTCCCTCCTCTCTTCTCCTTCCTTCCTTCCTTCCTTCCTTCCTTCCTTCCTTCCTT